TGAAAGCGTAGGCAAAGATCTGAGCTTTTTGATGCTAACACCACTGACTGACTGCATGAAGAGCTTAACGCCTAAGTTACGGGGAAATTTCTCATCTGAGGCAACTCTGGTTCTCCATTCTTTTCATTTTAAGCTAGCTATGATGTGTAAGCATATCTCCCTGTATGATATCTATCATATGTCACGGACACAAGAGTGAACTAGAGAGAACAGAAGTCTTTTGCAGCCTCCATAGTTGTGCTATTTCTCATCTTTTCTAAGAAAAACAAAAAATGCCACTTTGGGCATCAGTAGGTTGAATGGCATGCATGCCACACGTCTGGAAGCAAGCCTGTATATTTTAACTCATGTACTAAAAACATTCAGTGCCAGAAGGGAAAATAAAGGAGCGTATTCTACCAGCACAACTGTTAAGACTGTTTTGTTTGTTTGGGAAATGAATAAGCCTTTTACAGTATCTCTGGAAGGAATAGGCCAGTGCACGCTGCATCCTGACATTCTTTTCTGTCCCCAGCCTTTCCGAAATACCTTACATTCCTCTTGCCTCCTCAACACCACCAGGTCCTAGGGTGCCAGGAACCCAGTTTGCCACTGTGCTGCTGCTTTTGTGAAGGGCAGAAATTGCCTACGCTGGCACCAGCTTCTACCATCTCTCACGCCCAATGGTACTGATGTTCCCAAGGCTCCTACTTGCTTTGGCTTCTCACAGTACAGGTGGCAGCTCAGCTCCAATTCCCGCCATCTTCCAGAAGTTCCTGCCCATGCTGCTCAGGATGTGAATCCCCTTGGCTGACTCACATGCTCTGCTGGGTTAGCTGTGCTGCACGGGCCTGTTTTCCTCCATCCTCATCTGCAGTCAGTACTCGGCCTTAGAGCAGACATTAATGTCCTTTGTTTTGATTTTACATTCTCTCCTTTCCTTTCCCTAGAGTGAGATGGGTCCCTCATGCTGTTTTAATAGCCGTTCCTCTGTTTCCCTTCCCCATGTTCATTTCCTCCTGAGAACCTGACTGCCTGGTTCAAATAACAAGTGGAAATTGTAGCAGTATTTACTTTCATACTTTATGTTAAACTGGAATAGATTTTGAATTTTTTTGTTCACTGGATCAGGCTGGTAGCTTAGTGATAACCCAGTGCCAGAATATCTAAACCGCAATTGCCTTCCATGATTTCTCAGGCTAACAAAGGCTGGATTCAGTTTTAAATCTTTTGGGTGGGAGGACACCAATGTGTTTCTTTCTGGTTGGCATTTGAAGCAAAACAGAGCGGACAGAGGGGCTGCATTTATTCTCTTTATCTGAAGGAGGTTCAATAAGCAAGGCCTTGATGGTTGACTTACAGAGTTAAACGAGCAATTCCTGAAGAAACACCACATAAAATGCCCTTCTTGAGAATGTCAGCAGCTTTTGTGCTTTATTATAAAAAAGATGTGGGATGCCTGTAGGATTAGTTCATAAATGTTAAAGGAAATGTAGAATTATAAGCCAAGGCAAGTGAACTCATGCTGCACTTTAAAGGCAACTTAAGCAGAATGGTACAGTCCCATTTAAAAAGATAGTTAACGTTTTTTAATTAACATGTTTTACTAACATTTTTTCTTCCACAATCTGACCTTTGTGTTTAAATCTGACCATGGCAAGGATCACTGTCTAACCTTGTGCCATAAGACAGACTTCTGCTACATGAAATAAACTGCTTGCTTGAAAAGATTTTGTTCATTAGTCAGAGGAAAACAGAGCAGATTTTATTTTGATCTACTGAAATGCGAAATATTCCCTTCTTTGGATGAGAATTGAGTCTTGTTCTCATTATTTCCTCCTAAGATGGGAGCGGTAGCCTTTCTGTCCACACAGACATAGAACCCAGCCCACATCAGTGGTGAATTTTTGTCAACTTTCAGGAAACAGCATTTCATCTTCTTTTCATAGATTTCTCCAAGCAAGCAAATTCCACCATTCTGAATACAAAACTGTTCTATTCTGAAGAAATTCTGTCCACTGAATACCAACTTGAACCATTCTGCATAGTATTGTACAGGTGATAGAATCAAGATTGATTATCAAGGCTCTCCTTGGTTCATGAAGTGCAGTGATACTACAACTAAATTAATTTTAATCCTAATCCCCTGGCCAAGTATCACAGCAAGAAGTGATGCAGATGCTGCACAAGAACCAAAGGATAGCTTTGGCTTTGTGCAGGAAAAAAAAGATCACTCAGTTCTTCCAGAACACCAGGCTCACAGACCCTTCCTGAAAAGGCTCTCTCAACTGTGAGGGAGACACTCTGCTGTGCCTCTCTTTTCCTAGGTTGTGTCATGGGGAAAGCAGAACAAGGGAGTTTTGTTTCAGTAACCTTTCAGAGCAGGATATCTGTCTCGTGTTCATCTCCTATCAGTTGTCACAGGGTGATAGCTGGCTGATTTGTTTCAATGGCTGTTCCCCTCCCAGCCTGGCCCACAGCTCTGTTTCATGTTGTGCACTGAGGGCTGGGTGGTAAGCACAGATCTTGGCCAAGCACCCCTTTGGCTGCAGGGCCATTTCACCTGCTGACGATCCCCAGCCACTTCAAATACACTCAGCTGGAAGTTTGGAGGGCACAGAGGGGACTCCAAACAGTGGCACAGCAAGCAATAAAGCAAGTAATAAGCTCACCAGGGTGGTGTGTGAGGACACTGGGTTGCCCGAATGAGTAGAGAGTAATATTAATTTGCCCTCAGCAAAAGCAAAGAAACAAAGGCCATTGATGCAGGCACAAGGCAAAGTCACAGAACCTATTTACTACTCCACTGAAATTGCAGCAGCATAAAATATGAGGCAGTGATTCAATTCACTGCTGGGCTGTGAAGCAAAAAGACACATTACATGAATTGCCCTCCTGAGAACTTCAATAGGGCCCCATCGTTATAAATCCTGGCAGCATCGTTCAAGCTGCCTCTACAACACAGACATCAGCAGAGCCAGGTCTTGGCTTCCTCGCCAGCATGTTCCATTGTATAATTTAGCTGATTATCCAAGGCAACCAATTTAAAACTTTCCAAGACTGTGTCTGAAATACAGTATTACATAGTAAAAGCATCAACCGTCAACAAGGTCATCGCAGAAAGCAAAGTGCTTGCACTAACCACAGACGTGTACTTTCCACAGTCATCACTTTCTATAGTAACACGCCAAGGTTACAGGATCATATTTACAAATCTCTCTTTCAAGGTATATCTAATTCCTGATATTCACGATAGACCGGGGAGCTCTGCCACGCTGTGAGCTCTGCCACATGTAACTCAGAGGGAGTATTTCACCTTGGGGAAATTGAAGACCCACTCAAAGAGCAAAGAAAAGCTGTGGTTGTAAATGGAGGAGGTGAGAGAGGGAGGACGTGTGAGTCAAACGAGCAGTGGGGCTTTACCACGGAGGCGGTGTGAGATGGCAATCTTGTTTCCTCCCTGTAAAATACTAATTACGATTATAATGTATAGCTATCAGCATCAATCACTTCTGGGATATGATGCCTAAAATTTCATTACAGTACCATACCATTTAATTAGAAGTTTTCAATGTGAGCTGTGGAGAGCAATACACACAAAACAGTAAATACAAGGGAACAACCCAGCTGGAATTTTACATTCACACACCTGTTACCTCGTATTAAAATCAGTCAGGGACACTTCAAATGCATCAAAAGCAATACAAGCTAAAACAAAAGCAGGAGGCACAGCTTCTCAGTCGTGCATAGGTTTTGTAGTTTGATTGTAAGGCCCTTCATAAAAAGGGAAAACACCAATTACATGAGAAGTATCAGCACTGGTGGGATGACTGGAAAACACACGCACTCTGCATAAAAACATAGATGAAGTCAGAAATATGATTCTACTTTTCTTGCTTTTGTCTCTACTACTTACCCAGTCCTTATTAATGCGCTCGTACATCCTTTAATGCATTCATTTTCGTGATAACGGTGCCAGAACAGGAGGCTGTCACATTATACAGTCTTTATTTAGGGAATGGGACTTGGGTGCCAGTCCAACACCACGCCACCACTTTAGCCATTGCATTCTCTGCCCTTTGCACAAATACCCTAGGAGACATTTTCTTTTATACACTCAGAAGAGTGTAAACAGGCAACGTGAGGCCAAGGAGCCAGCAGAGCCATGGCACTGCATAGGGACCACAGTCACAGAGCACATACTTGATGAACTGTCAGGGCATGTGCAGGCAAGAAAACAGTACCGAAAAAGAAACATCAGTGAACATGTATAGTGCTTATTTTATCGTGGAACGACAGAGCGGAGAAGGAGATTACAGATAAAAGTACTGCATTCTTTGCAAGCTCTGAAGCCATTTCAGCAATAGGATCCCTCTCCAGAGGATTAGCCGCGTAAGAATTTAAGGATATCACTGTGCTATGGAATGAAGTTATGTTTGCGGTCCGGTAGTGGAAGATTATTCTTTGCTGTTTGTCCTTAGGCCACTAGAAATAGTCTTGAGTCCATCTGTGGCCTAGAAATGTTGGCTAAGGGCCAGCGCGGGCAAAAAGGAGACAATTCATTTCCCAGTGGCCTTCTTGAGATGGGTGAAGCGGCTGAGGCCATCCGTCCTCCGGTGTCTGACTGCAGTTTAAACACGCGGCTCTTCTTGTGCAAAGCGAGAGCTGGACGTTTTGACCCCAGTGGCAAGCAAGACCAATTCTGAGGGACGCTTCCGGGGCACTTTGAGCCTCGCAAAGACCAGAGATCTGCCGGCGACGGGCAGAGGCTCGGGTGCCACAGACAGAGGCCTTTTGTTCGCGCACAGCACGAGTTGCCTCGGCTTTACGACCACACGGGCCCTTCCACAAGGCGGGCAGCCCCGGCCCGACCCGCTCCGCTCCGCGCGAGACACACAGGGGGCAGCGCGGGGGAGCGGCAGAGGGCGGGGCCGCCTCTCCGAGAGCGTCCAACGGGAGAGCGCTATGCAAATGAGCGGTGTAGCCTGGCGGCGGGGCGGACGGCGCGGCGGGGAGAAGCGCTGGCGATGCGGCGCTGAGCGGGGAGCGGCGGGGCGTCCCGGAGCGCAGCCATGAAGTACAAGGTGAGCGCGGGGAGAGGAGGGGGCGCTCGGCTGGTGAGCGAAGGGGCTTGGCTTTCATCGGTGCTGGCTGGAATAGGGCTGTGTGTGCGGTGACCGGGGCAGGTGGTGCTGCTTCCCTTTCTGTGAGCTGGTTATCCCCTTTTGTCGGGGTGGTCCGTTGACGAAAACGATACAACTCGTTACTTGAAAAGAATTGGGCGAACGGATAGCTTCTCCCTCTTTCCACCGCTAAATAAAAGCCGGGATTTGGACCTTTTCCTGGACTTTTCTTCAGAAGATGCAGAAGTGGAGAGTTTCACCCTAAAATTACGTGAAGCCGTCTGGGCAAGGTTCTGCGTTAGATCGCATTAGATTACCGTGCAGACATACCGTAATCTTGTGCGATTGGAAAAAAAAAAGGGGAGGGGAGGAAAAACCTTCCTTTCTCCGCCAAAAATAACTCTGGCATCAATGAAGAAGTGACGGAGCAGTGTCACACATGTTACAGACTCGGAGATTTTGGAAGCAAAGCCTGTCTTCTGGCTGAACTTGGGCAGAGCTCGCATCCCTGCGATGCTGGGTTAAAATGAGATGCAGGCACACGCATCTCTTAGGAGCTCTGCCCTGGGTCTCTGAGCTCAGCCCAAACTTTCCAGAGCTCTCAGACCCAAACTTGGAAAGCTCAGAAGTCGTGTTCAAAGCTGCCGGCGGCTCAGTGGTAAGAATGATCAGGAAAGGGGATTTGTATAAGATGCAGACAGCCGATTCATTTCAAGGCTGAGATCGAATTCCTCTGCCCCTCAGATTGCTTCAGGCAGACTCCGTACCTGCTTAGGAAAGCTTTACCACAAAGCATCAGGCAACTGGGACTAATAGAGCAGCGTGTTGCTGTCAGTGCAGACGTCGTGAGATGCGTTCCAGCTGTCAGTGACTGAGTGACACTTGCATCCCAATGGCAAAATAATGGTCCCACTTAGTCATAACAGCTTTCTGACTTGTCTTGTCACCATCCAGCCTTCCTACGCTGTAGGATCACACTTCTTATGCAGCACAGTGACACTGCTGGAATAGGAATTAATAAGGCAGTGGTTTAAAATGTCCAAGTCTTCCCCGCTATGCAATGATTCCCTTGCCCTGTCTGGTTGGAATGAACACTTTGGTTTGAGGAAGTGATTACATAATTCAAGACAGGGCAAAGAAAGAGCAAGCCTTAAATACAGGAAGAGTTTGGGCCTCAAAAACCTTGTCAGATAAGGGTGTTTACTTTCCCTGGGAAATGTGAAGTAGCTCCTTACTCTGCTTAAGTAGGACAAACATCATTAGATCTACTTCTTACCCCTGGAGTAACATAAACAAAATACCTGCTCATTCAGTCTCTCTTACTTTATTTTCTTTCTCTATTGTCTTCATTTTTTCCATGGGAAAACAACAGTCGTGCGCTTTTCTATTCAGAAAATAAAGGAATAGAACACATCATGTCGTGCCTGGGAACATGCCAGCACTTCAGAGGTGACATAGCGTCCAGGTGCGGCATTGAGTGTTCTCCAGGTGGCATTACTTTGGGAGCTGTCATTCTTGACTTTCATTGTGATAATCTATGAGATAAGGCCGTATTTACTGAACTGATTGAGGTTCTTACTATAAGAGTTGGGCAGATCAGGAACTGGCTTGTGTGGGAGACCCTGAATGCATCTCTCCAGCACTACTGTCTTTACTTTCAGTGTGACTAACCTGGGGTCATTTCTGGTCTGCAGTTCTTTTCTGCTATTAAGTCTGTATCTTCTTTTTCACTCAGAAATGTTTTGAAAACTTGTTCCTTCTCTTTGTTCTACCTGGTGTAGGGAACCTGCTTTGGCAGACTCGATGATCTCTGGAGGTCCCTTCCAACCCCTACAATTCTGTGATTCTGTGATTCTTTCACCCAAAGTTCTTTTATTCTTCATTCCACTCTCTAAACTTTCTTCTAAGAGAATACTCAAGTCCAAGTCCCCTGAAAGCCAGTGAGACATTCCTGTGGATTTCAGCAAGTTCAGAATTTAACCTTAGATGTCTGTACGCTTCTTTCTTCTGCACACTGTGTGAAATTCATTGACGATGTGAATGTAAACCAAGGACAGAATTGACCCCAGGTTAGGGCCTGTTCAGCTGTTCAAATTAAATACTCTGTTCAAATTAAATACTGGAGAATACAAAGTTATTTTAAGTGAGCCATGGGAAGACAGGAACTGTTGAGCACAACAAATACATACGGGTTGGTTGTTGGCATTTCTTAGTGCTACTGGGCTGAAAGCTACTTTCAGAAACTAATTCCTGTAGAGTGCTGCTCTACTACGGCAATACCTGAGCTCTTCCTCATTTGATGATGGCCTCCATGTACCACAAAGTTGCATCCCATCGAGTTCTCACAGGATGCCATTCCAGAATTCTTGCATTTGGAAGGTGGAATCCACTCCTTCTGGAACCAAACCCTGACTGCGATTCCAAGGATGAAGCAGTTACAGCTGAAATGCAACTTGTAGGAACAGAAACATCTGTGGGTAACTGTGATCGAAAAGATTTCATGGATGAGAGAGGTTCCCTCTGCCTGGTAACTCTATGTCCTGTCTCTGGTAATACAAGTGTAACACAAGCAAAAGGACGGGAGCATTATCATAACAAGGCTTTTGTGGCCTGCTGGCTGTTCACAAATGAGACAAAAAAGAGGGGGAAAAGGAGGAAGGAAGATTGATCTGTTCACTGAAATTTCCAAACAGTTGGTGAAAGAGGAGAGAAAAAGAACAACTACATTCCTACCTCACTTAAGCCAAAAGGAATGACGTAGATGTAAAGTATGAGGTCTTGATTATCTATTTTTAGATAATTTGTTGGGCAAGGAAGAAACCTAAGTAAATAGGGCTTGAAATGCCTGCCATTTGTGCTTAGGCACAGTGCTGTAATATATAGACTTGATTACAATGCTTGCATGCCAAGACAAACAAAATAGTGTCACTGGGAAGAAATACTATATTCCCAACCAGAAATGCCTGTGAAAAGCTGCTTGTAACCCTGGCAATGAAAGACTTTAAGCATTGGGCCATGTAAAGGGAAAAGAACTGCCTGTACTTTACTAACCAGTCCTCTTTGTTTTCCTTTTTTTTTTTTTTTTTTTTTTTCCCTTTCCTTGGTATCTCAGCAATCACAGAGTGACAATCAAACCTAGAAGTAAATAGGAGCTGTAAAACCTCGGAAAAAAAAACATATTAGAGAAACAAACCGGCAAACTGAAAGCTGTCTTTGTTACAGTCGTGAATTTACAATGCAAGCTTCATGATTTTTCTCTCTGCTGTGTGTGTACAGAGGGTGATGGACAAAGTTTGGCAGGATCAGGCCAGGTGGCATTTAGCATCAGCAGCACTAAGTAGCAGTAGGACTGGCTCCTTCCTGATGGATGGAGAATCACTGTCATTTTCAGATTTCTGCTCTTCGCTGTCCAGTTGACTTATGGACTGCTTTATATGTCTCCAGATTAGGGCCAGGTAGGTATTTGCATACTTGAGGGAGGTGTTTGGCCTGATATCTCAGAATATTTGAGAAACTCATGACGGAATTTGTTTGCAGTCCCAAAGACTTCATAGGGTAGCAAGATGCTGTTAATTCCATTTTACAAGTGGAGAAAGAGGCTTAGAGATGTTACAGGACCTGTTTTAGAGGAAGGAGAAGAGCCATGACTAAGCATTGCAGATGACAGCAGCATGCAGTTTGGGTTTTTTTGAATGTTTTCTAAACTTCTGTGTTTTTATGCTAACAGCTGCTCATTAGTAAGTCTGTTTCATCAAGGACTAGTTGTCCAGTTTGTCTCTGTCCAGTAGTTCCTTGCACAAGATGGGAAGCAGAACTGCCATGTGAACAGTCTTCCTTGTATTTTTTGGTCGATCCAAATCAATGTAAGCCTAGATGTTTTAAGAAGCATTGGGTGTTTGCTTATCTGGGGGTTTCACTTCACTTTTAAGTGTCTACTAAAGAATGCAGTTACATTGGACTATTACTTTGCTTTGAGACGCGTTGACACAACATTAATTACTCCAAACAATGCCATGCCATCTAAAGACTTGATCAGAGGAGGCTCTGCCAGGTCAGAGAGCAGGAGAACTGCCTAATGGCAAGGTGTCATGGAAACATCGTCTGCAAAGGAAAAAAAAATCAAGTGCAGAAGGAAAGTTTTGCAGCCCTTCCAAGCCAACAGCCACCACTTTGCACTATGCAGGCTTGCGTTTGGAGAAGTCTGGAAGTTTTACAGTGACCTCAGTACTAACAGCTGGACCACAGTTCCTAGAGCTGTGTACAGCATCACCTTTGGAATCTCGTAATCTTTAGCACGGTAACAGTCAGGGTTAGAAAAGATTGTACTTGTACTGATATCTTATCACTGAACATTGAACCTCCTACGTGTGGTGTCTCAGGAAAAGTTTATTTGGTTGTAAAGCAACAGGCACTAGGCAATTCAACATTACAAATACCAGAGTCATTGCATTAGGGTCAGGTGTGGCGAGTGACCTGAGTAAAAGTTGAAATGAGGAAATTCTGACTCGCACACAACCTCTGCACTCAACTACTGGAATGGGGTGTATCTGTTTGGCTTCTTTGGCCAACTTCGGGCAAGTTAGGTGTCCTATTTGTGAACTACCTGCCTGTGTAGGGTAGAAAAACGTGATTGAGGCATGGGGTTTCATTGCCATTACTAAAGATATTAGGTGAACTTCTGGAGAGGCAATCTGTCTTTCTAAGAGCCCACATTCAGTTGTGTTAGGAATTATAAATTTGAAAGCCATTTATAAGATGCTTCTTGATGGAATACAAGCTCTCTGAATACCCAGGAAAGCAGTGAATATTCTTCTGTTACAAGAGTATTCTGACTGCCAAAGTATGCTTTTCTAGTAGGTCTGCAGCAGGATTAATCAGACAGTCCTCTGGGACCGTACTGCCAAACAAATATTGCTGAACACACGCCATAAATATTTGTAAGTGAGACTACTGCTAAGTAA